GTGAGAGCCCAGACCTGGAAGGAGTGAGGACTCAGTGAGACGAGGCACGTGGAGCTCTCGGCATGGTGAGCACCCACGAAATGTTACTTACTGGTGTAAAAATCAGGCAACCCTCCCCAGGCTGGGCTGGGGGACCTGGGGTGATTTTCAGCAGGCCTCTCATCTTGAGAGCAAGGCTGCTTGGGAAAGAAAGATCAAGAAACTGCATTTGGAAGTCATTTTTATTCAATATCTTGCACTGTAATAATCCGAGTTTCATCTGAGGGGAGAGAAGAGTAAGAAGCCGGCAGAAAATTAGCCAGAACCCTTTCAAGGCTGAGAGGCTGCCTCTAGGGGGAGGCTATTGGGGCCGTAGGGAGGCAGAGAGACAGAGGTCTTGGGAAAGCCACTCGGCCCGGGCTCCTGCTGCCCGGCGGCCACCTCGTGCCCCATCTGCAGGGCTGTCGGCCGCAGACACTGGCAGGAGAGCCCAGGAGGAGAGATGCGGCTTCCTGGTTGCAGCCTGGCGGTCGGGCAAGATGCTGGTGTTTGCAGCCCACAGCCTCCCCAGGAGGGGCAGTGTCCCAGCCCTGAGGGCCTTTAGGTGTACAGGGGGGGAAAGGGCAGCTCAGCTGTTGGCTGGAGCCTGCAGAGGACAGAGAAGATGATCTTGAGATGCCTCCTCACTGCTCCCAGCCTCCAGGACCTCTTCAGGAGACTGGGCTACACGCACACCCTGCCACCTACCAGTTCTCCGGGCTCCAGACGGTGCCAGAGGCCTCCATGAGGTGGAAAGCATAGGCATGGCGTGAGCCGTCAGAGAAATTCCGCTCGCTCTTGTGCACCACTTGTCCGTGGAATAGGATGAGGTCCCCTGGTGGGGACACAGCAAGTCAGAACAGTCACGGCAGGAAGGGACATGGGGCCCTCCTCCCGCAAGTGGTTCTATGGCCTGTCCATCCCCATTCCCACCCCTGAAGGCTCAGAGGCCTGCAGCAGGCCCCAGTGTCAGAGGCTGTGCTGTTGGACGTGGGTTCCCCTGGGATAAGTCCCTTCTGCTGTGGCCTGTGCCCCTGGCAAGCCTTAGCAAGGGCATCCCCCTCCATGGTGTTTGCCGAACCAGGAAGAAGCTGTGTGTGCTGTCCAGGCAGCCGGGACCGTGTCAGCGAGTGCCGAGGTGGTCCTCAGTTCTCCCGTTTCTGAGAGGAAGAGGCTTTCCTAACGGCCAGCGTGTCGAGCACTTGCTGTGCACCACACGGGTTCCGTGTCAACATCTCATACACATCCTCTGACTGGCTTTACATTTGGGGAAACTGAGGCTCAGAGAGGTTCAGTCATTTGCCCAAAGAGAGAGCTGGGAGGTAGGAGAGTCTGGATTCCAGCCTGATCCGGGGGACCTTGTTAACCCCACTGCTTCCCGACTTCCCTGGGCCCAATCAGTCTGACCTTGTCTCATTCTGGGACTTCACAGCCCTCAGGTGAGCCGGGTGAGCCCTCAGAGCACAGGCCCACAGGCATGGCCTCAGGGCCCTGCCTCCCTGTCCTCTGCATCCCCCTTACCTCTCCGCACTGGTGTGGGCACAAAGAGACTGTTGTCCCAGGCTGGGTTAGACCCCCGGATCAAGGTCCCAGGCGTCGAGCCTGCAGGGGTCCGGACCATCCTTCTCGACACTCCACCTGCAGGCCAAAATGGAGCCTTTAGCCTCTCTTTCAGGGTCCCTCTCCCATGGCGGCGGGCATACTAGTGGGCAGGGAGAGACAGGTGTCCTCACTGGTGTGGGAGCCAGGGATGAACCAGAGGCAGCCGTTCTCCAGCGTGGCGTCCTCCAGCGCGATCCACAGGCCCAGCACTCGGCCCAGGGGCTCTGTGTACAGGTAGGTGGCCTCCTGGTGGGGGGGGACTGCAGAAGGCCCGGCTTGGCATGAGGAGCCCACCCCATCTCACCCCAGCTCACTACCCACTCACCAGGCCTCTCAGAGCTGTCCAGCCCAGCCTTCCCATCCCCTCATCAGTTCAAATCTCCCTACTTCCTGGCCTGGAGACTCAGGGCAAGATATTTCACCTCTCAAAGCTTCAATGTCCTAAATCATAACGTGGCCCCAACAATAACCTACATCATAGGGCTGCTGGAGGATCCCATGATACTATGTAGGAAAAGTGCTTAGGGGGCCAGACCAGTGGCGTAGCAGTTAAGTGCACGTGCTCTGCTGCTGGCAGCCCCGGTGGGATCCCGGGTGGGCGCCAATGCACCGCTTGTCAAGCCATGCTGCAGCGGCGTGTCGTATAAAATAGAGGAAGATGGGCACAGATGTTAGCCCAGAGCCAATCTTCCTCAGCAAAAAGAGGAGGATTGGCATGGATGTTAGCTCAGGGCTAGTCTTCCTCACACACACACAAAAAGAGTGCTTAGTACAGGGCCCGACATTGTGGTTGCTTGCTAAAAAGTAGCAGCTATTGTTTAATTCCAGCCAGGTAACTAAAGCCACCGCCCTTAACCAGAGACGAGCACATCCAGCCACCAGATGATCCAGCCAGTGGGGTAAGAGGGGGCAAGTGACCAAACTTTCACATTTTAACGCCCCATGTGCTGCTGGGGCCCAGCTGCGAAGGCGGGCCACCAAGCAAAGGACCTGAATCTGGAATAACAAAGTAAAGGGGGTGCTTGTCTCCCCTCCTTCCTCCACAGGGAACTGTGTTTCCTTTTTTATTATTATTATTATTTTTTAATTATTATTGCTTTGTGTGTGAGGAAGATTACCCCTGAGCTACCATCCGATGTCAATCCTCCTCTTTTTCCTGAGGAAGATTGGCCCTGGGCTAACATCTGTGCCCATCTTCCTCTACTTTATATGGGACGCCGCCACAGCATGGCTGTACAAGGGGTGTGCAGGTCCGCGCTGGGGATCCGAACTTGCAAATCCCGGGCCGCCGAAGCAGAGCATGCGCACTTAACAACTGCACCACCAGGCTAGCCTTGGGAACTGTGTTTTCTGAGCACCAAATTTTAAGAGGTACTTTGACAATACAACAGTGTCCAGAGGAAGGGGTCCTAATGGTGGGCACTCCAAGCATCTCAAGGCAGAATGGCTGAAGGAAGTGGGGGTGCTGGACTAGGGGAGGGGCTGGGCATCCCTTCAGGAGACTGTCCTCAGGCTGAACGCTGGGGAGGAGGGTGGGCACAAGGGGGCCAACTGGACTCATGCAAGGAAGGGCTGCCTGTGAGGAGCTGAGCCTCTGTCACCAGAGGTGTTGGAGCAGAAGTGGATAATCGCCTGCGAGGGAGGCTAGAAAGGGTATCTGTGCATCCCGACGGGTTTGGAATTAGATCAGCAATTTCTATGTTAAATCAGTCCTCCAGGGAACTTGTTAAAATACAGATTCCCAGGCCCATGCTACCCTACTGACTCCATCTCACGGGATGGGGCCCAGGAATCTGTATTTTTAACCAGCGAGGAGTTGCTGCCAGGTTCCAGAACCACTGCGCCCAGGACTACAGGATGCGCTCCCAATCCACTGTTCCAGGAAGGACGGAAGGTAGCTTCTCCTCCCTGGCCCAGGCTCTTGCCCTACAGACATCTCGGCAAGCACCTTCCCTCCCTCTGAAGACCTGACAACCACTAACGTCCCAGATCTCCCTCCGTGGTCTTTGCTGGGCCCCACGGCCTGTTCTCAGCTCACCTTCACCGCCAATATGAGGTTGCTGCAAGAGAGAGGAAGGGCCAGGTGAGGCCAGAGGAGAGCAGAGGGGAGCAGGGGCCTGCTCTGAGTCTGGGGCATGCTCTTCCCCGGCTACAGGTGTTTACCTCCGAGGATTCCACATCAGCACCAGCTATCGAGGACCTACTGTGTGCCACGCCCAGGAGGGCTGCACAGAGAACCACCACCCTCGCGACGGGTGCTCCCAGTCTGAGCGCACACACGCCTAACGAGAACATGAGGCAGAAGTGAGGGGCAGCAGGAGAGGCTGGGGCCTGGGCCTGCGGTTAAGCCAGGGTTAGAGATGAGTCCCTCTCTTCCTAAGGGAACTGGAAGGCTTCTTGGAGGAGGTGGCACTGAGCTGGGCCTTGGAAGCTGGGAGCACAGCATTTCACTAGCCAACAAAGGAAGGAAGGAAGGAGTCCTGGGGATCCCCTTCCTTCCTGCCACCCAATTTTAACTGAGCACCAAGTGCCAGGAGCCTGAACCAGAGGAGACTGACTTGATGTCTTCTCCCAACTTAAGAATAATTCCTCAGGGAAGCAGCTTTTGGCCCATTGTAAGGAGGGGCTTCGTATGAGCACTCTGCCTGTTATAAAGAGGCTCACCTGAGCCTGGGGAGCACGGGACGCTCACCTTAAAGATGTACATGCTCTGCACCACCACAGGCGTCTGGAGGCCCAGATTTCTGGCCAGGGCCTGGAAGGAGGCAGAGGTCACTGCCGGCCTGCTCACACTCACATCTGGCCCACCCACCTACCCTCACCCCACCCCTGCTCACCTGCATCTTGGTGGAGTGGGTGACAGACTTGAAGACAGGGTCGTGGGCGTGCAGAGCTGTGGGACAGATGTGGTGGACGGGCCCGTCTCCCGCCCCCATGCATCCCTTCCGGGTCTAGCCCTGGGCACCTAGACTCAGGCCTCACTTTGACATTTTCACCTATTTGTGTGCATTAAGCTATCTTCCTGTTTATAACTGAGTAATGGGTCCCACAGATGCCTTCACCCCACCTCAGGCCCCACCCCACCCAGGACCTTAATCTTGAGCTTGCAGCCATCTGGGAACCTCACAGCTCTGACGCCATGGGCCCCATACATTGGCAGCAATCTCGGTACCACGACTTACTCTATGCGACTTTGAGCCATCATTTCTCTCCTATAACCTTCAGTTTCCTCTCTGTACAATGGGACTAGAAGAGACCAGCCCTGCCTCCCAGGCTGCCATAGGACCAGATGGGCCAACGCACATGCGACCACTGCCTAGCCTGGCATGGAACAGTGGTTCTTCTCATTATTTCCTATTATTGTTGTTATTACAAAAAGTACGAGTTGAGGGTACTTAATGCCACTGAACTGTATACTTCAAAATGGTTACAATGGTTTATGTTATATGTATTTGACCACAATTTTTTTACAAAGCTACCATGATATAACTTCAAGTTTAAAAATAAGTGGTCTAGAAAATAAATTATAGTGTATGTTCCTGAAAAAAAAGAAAAAAAGAGTTTCCTAGCTTGGTTTGGGGTGTCAGAACAGGGACCATGTCAACACGTTTGATGCTCCTCAAGGAGGCTCCAGGAAGCAGTGGGACCCAGGAGCCCCCATGCCCGGGGCCTGGATCATCTGCACGTGCCCTCTGCATGGGGGGGATCAGCGGACCCTCTTCCCAGTGCCCTGAGGGCATGCGATGTGATCAGCATCATAAGATGCAGAAGGGCCAGAGTGGGAGCTGCAGCCAGAAATGCCATTTGATGGGCCACTAACCTACTGTGGGCTTTAGGTAAGGCCCCGAAACTCTGCAGGCCTCAGTTTCCCCATTTCCTTTCCCCCAGGCACCTACTTACCGTGGCCAATTTTGTTGATGGATTTCTCCGGGGGAACCAGGAAGTTTCCTGTAGGGCAGGTACAGGCAGAAGAGCTGGAGTCCACCCTGCCCCGGGCAGCTGTCTCAGGGCCCACCAGCCCTGGGGGCAGATACCCGGGTCCAGCCCCTCCCCACACCTCCCCCCTTCGGGCCCCAGCTCCCAACCTTCCTCGTCAAAAACGCCTTTCTCAAAGAAGAATCGAATCTTGTCGCCGCTGCTCAAGAAATATTCTGTTTTGCTCTGTGGAGAGGGGGCGTCAGAGGGACTGAGAGAGCGTCACGGGGTCAGAACTGGGCCCGGCAAAGGGGAAAGAGGACTCGGATGCTTCCCACGCCAAGGGCTCCAGAGCCCGCTGGCGCTTCTCAAACTTGTCCACTGAGGCACAGACAGTGAATGAACGGGATTAACCTCAATGCCTGGAAGTGCAGCCGGAAGCTACAAGCATGGAGTTTCTTGGAAACCTCTCGGTAAGTCACGTGACTCTTATACGCGATGCGGTGTGATTCAGAAGATGGGCACTAGACTCAAACAGGCCTGGTCCCCAGGTAGCCTTGGGCCACTTGTTTTAACTCTCAAAGCCTCAGTTTCCTCATCTGTAAAAGGGGAATAATAATAGAACTGACCTCCCCCAGATTGTTGGAGGCTTCAGGTTGAGGCTGAATCTTAGACCAGTTGAGAGCACAGACCCTGGAGCTACTTGGGGTCAAATCCCAGCTCTGCCACTGACTGGCTGTGTGACCACGCCACATTACTGAACCTCTCTGGGCTTAGTTTCCTCATAAAATACAGATGCTGTTAACGGTACCTATCTCATAGGGTGTTGCAGGCATGATGAGTAGGTATACAGAAAGCACTAGAACAGTCTTTGCAGTGTGCTAAGTGCCATGTGAGTATTTGCTTTTATTATTATTACTACTGCTGCTACATAGGAAATACTCAGCAAGGGTATGGTTAAATGCTTGATAAATAGAAGCTATGACTGACCTTTTCTGCTTTCTTAATAACCTCTCCTTGTTAATTTTAGTATCATGTTTAAAATTTCTTAGCATCGTATGAAAACAATGCTCCAGGAAGACACCCCATGTCTTCCTTGTGGCTTTAGCCACCCTTGACCACCATCATATACATCTCCCTACCTTCCTGTGTGGCCACATGAGTGGAGCTGAGTGGCACCGCCCCCCTACCTGCGTTCCCCAGGTGGCACAGTCCCCGCCCCCTCCTCACGTGTGAACGTCAGCTCTCACGTGGGCCTGCAGGGCCATTTCCAGGCCCTTCCCACTGGAAACTAAAAGTGTTTTTTTCAACATTCTTAGTTCCTCTACACCAGGATCAGGGTGAGGGAAACAAGTCAGGGAAGCGTAATTGATAATAATAATAATAATATTAAAGACAGTGATGCTAAACATGTCAAAGATTTTACTTAACTCGTTAATTCACCTGCGTACCAGTAAGAGGGTCAAAGGAGAATTCCAAGAACCACACACGTAGGCATTGAGAAATGCTGAGAGCAATTTACAAATGGATGTGATACTGATCTATCTACAGAGCAATAACTGCATTCTGCTGGACCCCATTCATGTCTATTCCTGTGGACTAGTATCTCGTACATTATTGTCAGTTCTATACAACTCACTGAGTTGTCAAATAATCCAAAGACAATGAAAGTGGAGGTAAGCCGGAAGGGAGGTCTAGATGGGACACCCATGGATCTTTTCTTTCAATACCCATTTTGAAGTCTTTCAAGATGGTATCAGTAGTGAATATTGAGGGCTTACTGAGTACCAGGCACTGTGCCGAGCTCTTTGCACGCGTTATAAACCAAGATATATACACTCCTCTCCCGTCCTCCCCCCACCCTCTTCCCGGTCTCTGGAGCATTCTCGGAAGGCAGCTTGGAGGGCACAAGATTCAGCCCCCCTCACTCCTCGGAGCCCTTGAATGACCTGTCCCTGGACACAGGACCCCTGTCTCTGCTTTCCCCACCTGGAAGGCTGCCATGCAGCCAAATGAAACTGATGGTTTGGAGGAAGTTGTCATTCTTTCACCCTTTTTCCTTCTCAAGTCCCTGTTCTCTGGGTGGTGAGGCTTCTGGCCATTGTAATTCCCCTTATGGCCACGAGATGGCAGGAGCTCCTCAGCGTGAGTGAGCCCCATCAATGGGCCTGGACCGCAGCTTTGGCTTGGAGGCCCGCTGCAGACAGGCTTGTAAATTCAGACTCTGAAAGGTTAAGAGAACCGTGTGGGAGAACCCTCGAGTCTCAATTTACCCATCTCAGACTGTATTGAGACCTTTTAAGTCACCAGGGGGAAACAAACAGTTCCTAGTCTCACTGCGGGATAGGACTTACTCAAGTGGCCCACAGAATCACTTGGCTTATACCGGGTTGCTTGCCGCCAAGAGGACCTTTGTGGGAGAACCACTGAGGAAGTGCAGCAGAGCAGGGAACAGCGCAAACTTGGTATCCCACAGATCTGGGTTCAAATCCTCCCTCTGTCAGTTACTTACCTAACCGTGTGGTTTGGGGCAAGAGCACCGAGCCTCATTTTCCCCACCTGTCAAATGGGGGCATTAATGCTGCCCTTATAAATTCATAGTGCGAAGTGAAGGAAATATGCATATAAGGCGCTTAGCCTGGAGCCTGGCGCCAGGCGCATGGAAGCCTCGGGCCTGATTGTTATGAGAACGAGCCTAAGGGCTGCTGCTCTGGCTGGGGACTGTGCCCCCCATCACAGACCAGATCCCATCCTCACCTGCCCAGGCACCTACCTGGGATCGCAGGTGCTCCGCCTTAAATACTGTGCGGCAGTGGAGAGGGACATCCATCTTGGCCACTATCTGGCCAATGCTCTGCTGCATGGCCGCACACTCCTCTGCAGACAAGAATCCTTCCAGCACCAGGAATCCATCCTCCTGGAACTGCGGGCAGGAAGGAGACTCAGGCTTCCCCCTGCCCTCAGACGCTCTTTCTGAGGACTGATAAGACCCCTCCCCTAAACCCGAAGCTATGTGAAGGCAGGATCAAGGGTCCTGTTCATTGCTCTGTCCCCAGCCTGGCCGGGGTGTCTGGCACCCACTGAGAAACTATGAGTGCTGGCTGCTTGAATGAAGAATGAAGGAAGGAGGAAGGGGAAGGGGAGGTGTCCCCACCCTTCCCCTCCAATGGGCTTGGGTCACATGGGAATACAGCCTCACTCATTTATTCAACTAAAATTGATTGAGCATCTACTGTGCACCAGATACGGGTTTTCTTGTGTGTGTGTGTGTGAGGAAGATCGGCCCTGAGCTAACATCTGTGCCCATCTTCCTCCACTTTATGTGGGATGCCGCCTCAGCATGGCCCGACAAGCAGTGCATCGGTGCGTGCCCGGGATCCGAACACTAGAAGGATGTGCAGCTATGACATACAACTATCTACTGGGGCTTTGGGGGGGAAAATAAATAAAATAAAATCTTTAAAAGAAATAATAATAATAATGTGGCAGAAAAATATTTACTGACATGGGAATATGTTCCTGGTATACTGTGAGATGGAAAAAAAAAAAGCTAAATGCAAATTAGTATCTTAGCCATAGGGAGAACTTGGGCAAGCATTGTCCCCCTCTGAGCCTCAGACCATCCAATGGGGAGGAGAGTACTGCCTACTTCATAAAACATACGGCGGGCATTCGATAAGTGTTAGCTATTAAGGTGGACCTTTGAAGGATTCTAGGGCTATATGCCAAAATATTGTCTCACGGTAGGAATTTATGGGTGGTTTTTCATTTCTTCTTTGAGCTTTTCTGTATTTTTCTGCATTTTTCTCTTGCCATCAGGAACAAACAACAAGGGTCAGGTTGCTTATAGAGTCTCTGGCTCTAAGTCCCATGGGTTAGCCTTTCCTGTTGGAATGCACAGGGAATCCAGCTGCCCTGTGCCTGGCTCTGCCCCAGGCCTGGCTCTAGAGGTCCGGGGCCCTTCAGCTGTCCCCGCCCCTCCGCTTGCAGGGCCCAGGCCTAAGCCAGTCCTGCCTGATCCCCGTGCTTTATTCTGATTTCGGTCACACACACACACACTCCCACCCCAGCCAGGTCCTGTAGCCTGGACGCCCCCGACTGCGTGTGCAGAAGTTAGGGGTCCTGGTTGGGAACTGACCACTCTGGGCTTCAGTTTCCTCTTCTTGAAAAATGGCAAGGGGTGGGGTTGAGTCCCCGGAACTACTCGAGGTGTGGAGGGGCTCCCCACTCTTACCTGACCCTCTGGGCCCTACCTTCTGCAGCTGGGAGGAGCTCAGGCAGGCCATGAGGACGAGACAGGGTGCAGGGTGGCTTTGAAGCTGCACCCAAGGCTGGAGAGGAAGTTCAAGAGCGGAGAGTGGGTGGAGCCTGGGAGGCCCCTGAGGACTTAACCCTTCCCTGCTCAGAGCAATTCCAGTCCTGGCACGTATGCTAGCCCAGGGCCAATCTTCCTCGGCAAAAAGGGGATTGGCATCAGACGTTAGCTCAGGGCGGATCTTCCTCACAGAAAAAAAAAGAGAAAGTCCATCCCGGCCCCCAGCTCCCCTCCCCCAAACACACAGACCAGCCTGGGCCCCTCCAGGCTGAGGCCCAGCCCTGCCCAGCACAGCTGCACCGCATCACTCCTGCCCCTGGAGGGGCCCTTGCCTCTGCCCCAGCCCTGCACCCCGGTTCATCCCCCCAGCTAATCCAGGATTAGCCCTTGCTGATCTCCTTCATGGTTTGTAACTGCTCCCTCCTGGTTTCTTTCCAGAAGCTACTCCCAGCTGGCTGGCTGCTTACCAGGTGCCCAGAAGTTTTCTTCTAGGAACATCAGGCAAGAAGCCAGAGTGCCAGGACACCTGAGCCCAGCTGCCATTACTGTGACCTCTGACCTCTGACCGTCTGTCCCTCTCTGGGCCCCACGTGAGCATTAGAATGTCCCCGGGCCACCCGCATCAACATCTGGGTGGGGTGGGATACAAGGTGAGTCTGGGGGACGTGCACCTCAGACTGGGCTGAGCGGCTGTGCATTCCAAAGGTGCAAGAGGTCCTAGAGAATTGTCTGGGCCCCTCCCAGCTCTGATCCCCTGAAACTCTCTAGGTTCTGGGAGGATAATGGAAGGGGATGTACAGATTAGGCTGCAGCTCAGAGGGCAGAAGATAGGAGGATCTTAGAAAGAAGGAGGGGCTCGGGGACCCGGGGCTGGGGGCTGCGGAAGGAGGGAGAGAAGCATGGTTCCTGTTCCCCACCCCCTGCCCCAAGATGTTTGGTGTCCAACTCATGCTGACACAGCGGAGGCCCGTGGTGGGAACAGCACACGCTCACCCCACTTCCAGCTGGCCCTGCTCAGCAGCTGACGGGGCATTCTGGCTTCAGCTTCTGAAAACCGGCCACTGGCCTTCCCTGCGATGACGCTTTGTGAATGGCGAAGGGACAGAGTGTCTTGAGAGTGAGCATGGTGACACAGCTCAGGCCTCAGGGGCCTTCACCCCGAGTGAAGTCGTGTCTTCTGGGCCACCGCATTGGGAGTAGCTGCTTGGTCCTGGCTTCCAGAGGGCCGGGGGAGGGTGAGTCCCTTGGGCTCTCCAGGCTGGAGAGAGTAGCGATTCTGAGGGGTTAGGCTGGGTGAGGAGGGCCAGCTGAAGGGAGAACAATGGGATATGCAGCTGAGACTCAGCTCACTGGAGGCAGGGCGGGTTCCCAGCTGTCCTGGGCCCTTCTGATGCAGTCCTCCAACACACAGAGGCACCAGCCATGTGCCAGGAGCACAGCAAGGGGCCCGGCGTGCTGGGCTAGGAATTCCCCTGGGAACCGCCGCCAAAGTCTTGTGGGGGAGGCTCAGGGAGGCAGACTGGCTTCAAGTCCACACCTGGGCCTTACTTCCCCATCTGTAATTTGGGGATAACAAAAGTACATATTGTAAGGAGGAAGATGAATGCTTCACTGCTGAAAATGACCTTCACACAGAGCTGGGCACTTAGTGAGCGCCTACCCACTGTTCACCAAACGTTAGCGGGGCTGTTCTGGGGGAATGTAAGGGTATTTTTAATTTATTTCTGAACTTCCCCAAGTTTTCCAAACTGCTGCTGTAGTCAGAGAAGACCACCACTGTGGTTGAAGCTCTGGGTGGGGGAGGGGGTGGAGGGGGGAAGGCATCGGGGGAGGGGAAGGGGCTGGGCCTCCCACATCTGTTCATTCATTCTGCTCCGGCTCTGGGAAGTGGATGGGTCGGGTTTCTGCATTGCTGTTTTTTCCAAAAACTAACCAGCTCCAGATTGAACACTCCTGCTCCGGGTGCTGGGCAGCCCCAAAGCTCGGGTTGGGGAATGGGGGTCGGGAGAGGTAGCAGACCTGACAGGAGGGCAAGACCTCCACTGTGGAGACACAGGAGGGTCTGCGAGGGGGTCGCAGCCCAGCTGCTCAGTCCTGAGGGGTCAGAGTCGGAGGGGTCAGAGTCCCG